TCTGTAATGGAATACATTTTAAAAGTAACCTTCCCAACACTGGTCGTGATATCGGGTCGGAGTCGTTCTGGTTGACTGTTTCTTTCACAAACAGTCAACTCAAACATAGCTGAAGCTTAAAATTCTCCCTGGTAGCTCGTAATACTGCAACAGCTTGCATCTTTTTGGAACCGTCTTCATTATCACAGCAGCCTCTTTCACAATTTTTCAGTCATTTAAAACATTTTGTTCTCTGTTCAGATGCAGCAGAACAAGAGCTACACTGTTAATGATGCTCTCCAATACTGTAAGCAGTGCAGATTATTAAAAGTCCTTGTGTACCTGAAGGAGAATTAGGCAGTGAAGGCAGATACATCACTACTTCATCGCCATATTATTTCTAGAATAAGTAGACCACAGACTAATGATGATCACAATGTAGGAGTGTTTTTTCTCCAATCCTTCTGTGTTCTTAATTTGAACCGTTTATCTCTCCCTTGCTCCGTACATCATCATCTCCCTTCACTCCTTCATTTCTCACCCTCTCTCCGTGTTTATCAACGCATGATTCCGCCCATGTTGCTCCTTCTTTCCACTTCTTTTCCCATTTTTCCTCATTTTCTGTCCTCCCACGCTATTTCTTTACGCTCATTTGCCTTCCCTTTCCCCGTCAAATCAACGTGCTGGTCCAACCACTGCTGCGAGGTGGATTTCTGCCTCACCAGCTTTCTCACCCAACCAAGAACTGCTTTGATATCCACCGACAAAGTTGCAGGTCCAGCTGTGCAGAAATATTTACTGTCGCTGACGTTATCCGTGGAAACTAAGCCGTTTTTGCTTGAACTCTTTGTCACAACCCTTCTGCTGAATCCCAGTAGATTTCAGTGCTAATAGTGTACATTCATGCACTTAATCAACCCAGTTTTGTCAGTGACAGCGAGCACTTAAACTGAGGGATGGGATGTGTTTTATATGCAAACCTGTAAAGCCATACGTTAGTGATGTTATTGAGCGAAGCCTTGCAGCACACACTATATGCGTCACCTTGACACGGGGAATTTACATGCCTTTACTTGGTGGCACAGAAAATGCATGAATAAATATGCATAAATATGCTTTTATTCTCGGTTCAGATTTACTGCAAAGTGTGTTTTATGCAACTCGTCGAACAGAACACAGATACGAGAATCAATTCGATTACTGTAGCCTATCAAAGAAAACTAAATGTGTGATTTCCACATCTCTTTCTTGCTTGTGAAGTTTAAACATATCAAATTTAACAACTCTAATGCAGGCTGTCACCTTAGAAGTAAATGCCAGCACCGAGAGCGTATTGAGTGGGGAATTAAAAATCTAAACTTAAAAATATACAAAATTGACTGTTTTCTGCCAGCATTGCTTTCATGCCTTATTTGTAGCGATAGTTTCCCTTTAGCTCCCGATGAAATGCTCCTCTGACTGACATTCATTTTGTATGGAAAAAGTGAAATGATGTACGAAACACAGCCTGAAGCAGAAAGCCTGAGTTAATAAAGACACCGCTGGAAGCGTGAACAAGCAGCTGAACATCTGCACCTAAAAAAGTATCCGAGTATGCACATGAGTTTAATATCTCGCTAAGTTTGTTGTGATGTGTTCATAGACAAACTCCTGAGGTCTTCAGCTCGTCTGGTCTCCTATGATTTTTTTGACACCTCTGCTAGTTGAGTAACTTGAGTGGATTTAGTTCAGGATTATGTAACAGTTGCACAAAACTGCTTCATTCTTGGCTTTAAGCCTTTAACTTTTCGATTGAAGTTGAATCTCGATCCATAAAAACTTTGGAAGGACTCCTTACAAATAAAAGAAAAAGCAAAATACATATCAAACTGACATTATGTTGATGTCCTCAAGAAATGATCACAGACTAATCTGGATCGATATAACCTTCTAGGCTCAGTGCATACAGACAAATATTTGGAATTCATTTCAGGCTCTGATACATGTTTACAAATGTAATTTAGTATTATTTAAAGGGGAAAAATTTGGCTTCTGTGCCATATATCACAGAATAATTCCCTCCTTTCAGATTAATGTTCGTTCTCCAGCTAGCCAAGGATCAAAGCCGACCAATCACAGAGCATGAAAGCCCCTCTTTCATCTTTTTTGTGCACAATCTCACTACTTCAATAAAATGGAAGGTGAGTGGACAGCAGTCTCCCCTTTTGAGCAACTATCAGTAAATAAAATAAAAAACCACATTAGCCTCATCCTCTCCAGTACTGCAGTTTTTCTGTCTGATACCAACAAGGTCAAAAACAACTGTGCGAGTCTGAATTTGCTGTAATGTTTGACATTAGGAGTGAAAAACTCTTCACCTTGATCTCATAGATCTTCAGCTTCCTCTTGATGCTGGTGTTCTCCCGCTCCAGGCAGGCCAGCCTGGTCTTGATGTCCTGATAGGCGGTGATAAGGGCGAAGTGGGAGGTTGAGTAGACTTCATCATGGGGCAGCGGCGAAGACCGCCACGCAACGCTGCCGCAGCCATCCTCCTTCAGGCCTCCTGCGTCGCCGCCTCCACCGAGCAGCCCCAGCTCCCCTCCGCCTCCAAACAGAGATTGCATCGCTCAGAGCTTCAAGCTGAGGGCACACAGAGACAGATATTTGCTTATTAATTATTAAACTGCCAGATTGTTTCCATTCAATTAAATGTACCATCCAAAAATAAAGTAATTAAAAAAGAAACGTTTCATAACTCTGGCTGGGGTTGCCTCTCGGTGCTACAGCAGCAATCCAAAAAACATCAAGCACTCAGCTACTCGCAACAAACAAAAAAGAACAAAGCAGTTTTCTACCGAGAGCAGTCGGACTGCTGGCGCACACAATGTAAAATATTCAAAAGCACAGTGGGTACCGAGAGGCACGGGAGGATGACTGAGGGGCACGTGAAATTTAGAGATGGCTTACTGTGTCTTAGGAGTTCAGATGTACTGTAGGTGCAATGATCCAGTTAGCCACAATATCACATCGCTGCCCCCTACAAAAGAAATGCCAGTGCTACCTGATTATTCACTGCCCCGTTCTGCGATTCAAAAGTCTCGTTCTGACAGAAGGGAAGCAAACTCGAGAAGCAGTGTGACCGGTCAGTGCAGCGGACACAAAGCGATGCAAATTTGCTCTGGATAACAAGGTGAGGGAAAGACACGGAGATCTTAACGTGTTTTGGCTTGAACAAATCATCTGTCTGCAATCAGGTTTTGAAGGTACAAAACAAAGAAACTGAGAGAAATGAAATAAAGAGAAAGCAAGCCGTAGACGGTTTTTAGATAAGTCAGAGCACAGCTTTAGATCATGAGTTCGAAAGATTTTTTTCTTCTTCTTCTGTAAAATCATATTTCAGCATAAAAGCACCCTATTTGAATATGATTAGACTCCGTAGTGTTGCCAACAGATAAAGACTTCAAAACAATCCGCTGCACTGGTTCCCAAATATTTTTGAACCGCTGAGCCCATCCATATATGTGTGTGTTTTAATGGCACTTAGCTTTCAGTGTTCACCCAGACTTTGGGTCTCTGGAGGGCTGAGATGGATCACTGTTTCTTTGAGCCTGTTTAAAATCTTTCCATCACTTCCATTTAAAAATAACAGCTTACTTTTGTGCTTTTTTTTCCTGTTGTGTGCTTGCTTTGTTATTGCCCGCAGGATAACTACACAGACTTCTGCATTGTTTTTAATATTGTGATTTTGGGTCTTTGTTACTTATATTTTTCATTTAATATTCTGTATTATATAATGTAAGTCTATTAAGCAAACACTGCCCTTGTTCTTTTCTTTCATTTCCCTTTTTTATTTTTTTGTGCTGTGATTTTACAATATATGGCACTCAAGGTTCATCTTTGGATAAAACGCCGTGCTCCTCGTTGTCTCTTTTCACTTAGCTCTCCAGTCACAAAGGAGGGAAGGGTGGGACGCATCAATCATCACATCCCACTCAACAAAAAAACGTCTGAGAAGTTAATGCTGCCGCTCTCTCTGCACGGAATAACGTGTCAACATTTTAATTTACGAAGGGCATTTCTGTTGGGAACATTTAGATTGCTGTGGGTCTGAAGGTTAAGCAGCAGTCGGCTAGGGCTAGAAATTTGCAGTGAATTGCTTTTGCTGATATTCTTTAACAAAGCAAACAAGCACCTGTGGTGATAAAATGTTTTCCGAAGACAGCCTGGTGTTTTCAGCCTATTCAGCCTCCCAAGTTCTCTGTATCTCCTGAGTTCAATTAGCCACTCACCCCAATATAAATACACTTTTCTGAAGTCGGATTTGTATCTTTTTCTCCAGGCTTAACCAGGATACGATGCTTACATGTACAAAACTGTGATTATTAGCAAAACAGTAAAGCACACGTAATCTCATGAACCCTTTGGCCTTCATTACCTCGGTCTTTTGCATTTAATTTTTGGCGAGAAGTCCCTCACGGGTGCATGAGTAACCCGTGCATGTACTGTAGCTGATATGTTAATCAGAGTATAATTTGCATATGAGTTGGGTTTGCTGTCTTGTTCCATTTCACAGTACTTAAAAAAAACATGAGCTCTGACAACCTAGACTCCTTGAGTGGCATGATGAATGAGCTGAGTAGCTATCTGACCACGCTGGCCTCCCTCCCCTGCCCCGAAGACTCCGGGCCGGGCTGTCAAAAGTGATAAATGGCGCCTGTGATGTCACTATCCTCTTTTAATTCCGCTACAAAGGGCACAAGTGCACAAAAGTCATACTAGACGTAGCAACAGCGGTTTGATTTACTGGTACTAGAGGAGTTACACAACAGCTAGTTGATTTGATGTATACTGGAATGGATGCCTTCCTGACTCGCAGCATTGCCTTGTGAGTCAGCGATTGCCCACTGAGCTATTTTCATCTGCTCCCTTCCTCCACGGTGCTATTTTCCTTGTGTTTCAAGAGAGAGGGGAATAAAGCCTCAGCCAATCTACGGCTCTTTTCCTCGCTGGTCTAACGGGATGATCCAAAAGCACTCCCACGAGCACAGGCACGCACATACACACACTCACAAAAAAGAAAACGATGAGTAAAATGCACGCGTGGACAAAAATGCCTGTTTGATCAAGCAGTGCCCATCACCTGCCAACTGCCTGGACAGTAGTGTTTAAGCTGGGAAGATATTAAGGCTCTGTGATGTATACTGTGTTGACATCATGCTGTCAAGTCTGAGGCAGTTTACTCTGGCAAACACTGCGTCACTCTAATATCATATCTTTGCACATGGTGTCTCATATAGCAGGAGGAAAGATAAACAGGTTGTACAAAAAAAGGGAGCAGAGGGAGAATAACACTGAATGCCATTAAAATGGAAATATTGGTGAGACAGCGATTGGTTTCTTTTAACCGTGACAAAAATGTTTTTAAAACTGCAAATCTGCAATAATCAGTGTTGTTGTTTTAGCAATAAAAATTCTAATGAAAAAATGTGACTTCTCATGTCGCCCAACATACAGCTCAGTTTGTATGAATGGTAAATGGGATGATTCTTATATAGTGCGTTTTATCCAAAGAGACGGCTATTTTTCTAAAAGGTTGGCACAGACAAAAACAGATCTAATTTAAGAGTGTACATATCATGTGTATTAAATGGACTCAGACAGAAATTCAGGTGAGTACTACGTTTGCTATATGTTTATA